AGCTCTGTAGACACGTGTTGAAGTAGTGCAGTGATTAATCAACTTCTACAGTGGTTGAGAGCATTACCCAGGGGCTTAGGACATGCACACCATGGTCCCCAGAGTCTGTGGGTCAGAGCTGGTGAGCACTTGTCTTGGAAGAGGGCAGGTTGCAGTCATGGTGAGGTTACGGAGTTAAGCAGATGCTTACCTGTCTTTTGACCTGGAGAACACTGTTCACTTTAGAGTGCTCATTAGGAGGAACTAGAATTTCCTCTGTCAGCTTGGTAAATCTGCTTTCGCTCAGACTGCATGCTCGATAGTTATTTGTCCTTTAACGAATACCAATTTAAACTTCTCATGGAAAATTTCATACTGTAAAGTCGTCCTACTGCATGGGGTGTAAGCATGGAAAGCATCTCTTTGCATTCATATTTGTGCAGCACCAAGCGCTGGAAGTAGGGTTCTTGGCCCTGAAATAATGAAAACAAAATTGACATTATTTGTTTTGTGGTACTGCCTCTAGGCCTCAATCAAAAATGACACAAGACAACAGATGGAGGCAAGTACACTGGGAGAAGCACAACACAGAACATTTATTCATTTAGTAAGCATTGGCCACAGTGCACCAGCTGCTTAGGTATTAAATATTTTGTAGACATCATTGTACAGATATAAAAATAATAATAATTGTTGTTATAACCTAGCCTATAAGACAGAAAGGGTTTTTTTAGACTGTTGTATCATGGGAATGGAAAATGTGGCCATTAAAAGCAAACATTTCTGTAAGTGTAAGCATTCAGTCATTCTTCAGCTGTAAAAATTACATTATCCTAGATTGTGTTGAAGCTGATAGTCATGTTCTCATTTAAAAGCTGATAAATAAAATATTAGAATTTTCTGACAAGTTTTTCTGCAGTATGCAACTGGTTATACAGTCAACGTTGGCTAATTTTACATCTGTTTAGCTATTTAAACTGTTTTGAAAAGAAAACTTACCCCTTCCCAAAACACCCCAAGGCATATTAAAGTGTCACTGGAATATGAAACACATAAGAAGCAAAAATGGCTAACAAATTTCATTGCAGACATTAGAACAATATTTTCAAGATGAACTTATGAAAATGTAGAGCATGTCATATTAGATTTTATGATTTCAATTAATATTTTATTGACTGTTTTTGAAGCCTGGCTCAAACAGAAAAATATTAGGCCCCAAACTTATTGCTCATCAACCCCTTGAATGGCATGGCTGTTTTGTTGAGTCCACGGAACCATGGGGAAATTTCCAATGAATTTCCTTTTTTCACTTGGAAAAATCAAAAGTGCCATTTTTTCAGGGCAATGTTCCAAGATTGATTAAATTCTGCACAGGGTTTTTCTCAGACATTTAATTTTATTTCTGCTGCGGTCACAGGAGAATAGTTAGATATGCTTGATTTCCACATTTCTTTTCATGTCAGAGGTCCATGCTTATGATGTGGGTGGCCCATCAAGTATGAATATTGTGTGTTATTCCCATTTCCAAAAGTTAAGCTGAAAGATGCTTCCCTAATAAGGAAAGACAAGGATATTTTGTTTAGGCCCGACTCATTTATATCTAAAGCAAATATATTTTCCCATGTGATTTTGTTGTCCAGTTACTTTGTTTGAAGCTTAAAAGCACCATTTACTTGCTCTCGAATTTTATAACTAACAGTTTTCATCTAAGGTAGTTTTTGTCATCCTCTTTTTCATTTTTAAAGACAGAAACATTAATGGAAATTATTCCTCCTAACTTTTCATGGACAACCTAAGGCAATTTTACAGGAAGCACATGAAGCAAGCAAAAACATATGGAACAGGGGATTTATGTATATAGTACATGGTATGCTTAGCCAACATACATAACATTTATTCATTGTTCCAGCTATTTCATTTTTTTTCTTTTTTTCCTTAAGAAAGGGAAGAATGACAGCAATACCAAATTTAGTGAATTGGTTCCATGTGTGTCAAATAGTCTGGGACATATTTCCAACTAATATAACAAACCACCAAATCCAGAAAGGCATGTGAGATATAGTAGCAGACTTCTAATCTTTGCAAACACCAAGAAAACATGACATGAGATTTGGAACTGCTTAGAGTTGCTTTCTCTCATCAATAAACAATAACTATCAGTACTTTCAGGTACTAATTATGTGTTTTGACAGCTGACAAAATCTGTAAAGTACAATTCCCAGGTATATGGATCATGTGAGATTCAAATGTACTTTTTCTATATAAAAATCATACTGTAAAATTTTCTATGCACTCCTTAATATTTCCCTTAGTTGTGTTTTTCCTCTGAAAGTGACTCTCTTTTTAGCACAAATGGAAGTAGCAAGAAGTTTGTCCCCAAGTAACAGAATGTTTGCATAGGGAGTATGCAAGTATAAAGAATTTACATGTACTTGAAAGTGAACATATATTACAGTAATTTTATTTTTTTTTCCAAATAGGTTTTTTTATTATTATTATTCTTATCTTTCATTGCATTTAATATGTACTTTGAAAGGCTAAAAGTTGGAATATCTCTAATTACCCCTCTTACACCTTGTCCCATATCTTATTCTGGCTGATATCTAGACTAAATTATCCAACACAGGGCCAATGCCAATCTTTGAATAAATTCTCATCTTAGGGCTGAATTTAGTTTTTAGAAAGACATTTATATAGACAATGGCATTCCCCAGTAGTGCAAAATAAAACTTGCATACATTTGCCTCTGTTAAATTCTGGGATTTTGGTGGATGGAGTTAATTACTTTAATTTCAGTCTCATGTTTACATTGTCAATATCTGTCCTTTGGAACTGCAGCCTCATTACGCACCAAGCAGTCCAAAATCTTCCCCTCATGGGCTAAGAAAAATTTTTGTATTTTGGCCATCTGCTGGACTCTTGACAACCTAAGAGTTTTTGCTCTTAAAAGGCCATTGAGATGGTCAGAGTAAGCTCTTAAGACTCTTCCTGCCCATGGTAAACGCTTCCTACCCATGAGGAAGCCGAAGTCTCCTTCAGCAGGATATGATATCCAGTTCAGGTTACCACAAGGGGTCAGTAGAAATCAGTGAGAAATATTCCCTCCTTCTCCACCCCAGGAACTATGAAACGCTCACAGCCACTATGTCATTCCCTGTTAATTTCAGGAATCCAGTGAGGGAAAACCAGACATGATTGTTTTTTCCTTTATAACCAGACAGCTTTTCCCACTGAAATATATGGGTGGTTTTCTAACATTATATAGAAGTTTGTTTTTGATCAAAGCCAGCTGGGGTTCAAAAGCTGGGCTTCAATATTTTTTCCAGGATATTTTTTCTCGCTATTTGTTCATTATGTTTGTTAAAATGAGTGATTCAAATATGGCACAGATTCATGATCCGGGAGCAAAATCTGTGTTTCTTCCAAACTAGGTTTTGAAGAATTTTTCTTTCTTTCTAAGTAAATAAGATTGAATTTAAAATAAATTTTAAATTAAATCATATGTTCTAAGCAAGTAGTTGAGAGAAGTTGCATATATTTTCTCTCCAAATGCTTATGTAACTCTTTTCTATTTTATTCATGGCCGCCCCATGAACACTATTCATCACACTTGCACTGTTCTCTCTGCATCAAATTCCTTTCATTCCAAAGGATGCTGGGGAAAAGTGGGGGGGGAAAATCACCAATTTGAAGTTTGATTCTCTGTCACTTCTGTGACAAAGCTGTATGCCTAGGGAGCATTACAGTCATAAATGACAGCAAATTAAAGACCTGCCTACACCACAGTGGGAACCTGCATCTCATAAACTTTACCAAATACCATCAGACCATTTTCCTTCAGGCAAGCAGCAGGTCAAGCTGATGTCAGTTAATCTTATACTGCAGTGGTACACTAGTCAATGTTCATGGAGCCCTTGAAATTCCTCTCACCTTTTTTTGCTGTAGCCATCCTGAACAATCCAGACATAATGCAAGGAAATAGATTTGGAAATACCCAGATTTTAATTTATTGCAGACATGCACAAAAAGGCTCAAATACTGTTAAAAAAGAAGTCCAGTGGTTGAAGCCGTCAGGGAATTATGGGTTTGTAGAGTCATTTGCTGGAAGTATTATTGTACTTCGGTTCATTTATATGATACAGACAGAGTAAGTGGTAGAAAATTAAACTAAATGGGGAATTTTGCCTCCAACAAATCAGAGTTTGGCCAGTCCTGTTGATGCTTCAGAAAAAAATTTCCATTGGTGCTTTGTTCAGAGCTGGTGTATAATGAATGTTCAGCATCTTGCGCAAAAAGAGTATGAAGTGAAAAGGCTGATTTTTTATGCATATTGCAAAACCAAAGCAACATTACTCTTTTAACCCAGGCAGTGACATTCCCTAAGCCTCTTGTGGCTAATATGTGCAGCAAGCAGAGGCTCTGAAACACCATTTTTCTTTTGCAACCCTTGCAATTAATTATGACTGAAAAATGCATGCTCATCAAAAACAGTTTAAAAACCTAATTGCAGTTGAATACATAAGAAGCAGTAGATTTAGAGCTGCATTTTGGTTTGTGCATTGAATGATGTAGGAAATCCTGCTGAAAATGTAGCAGAAACTGGTCCCAATCTATTTTGGAGAGCCAAAAGTGCAAGTTCCTGCGACATGCACTGCGAGAGGCTCATCAGCCGATGGCAGATGGAAGTGGGATTGTGGCATTGGGATGCTGGTTGCACACGCTGCGTTCAGCAGAAACCTGTAAGAAATCTCTTCCTTCCCTGTTCCCAAGGGAGCCTGGAGAGTCACCTCCATGGATAGTAGTAAAGGAAAAGTGAAAATGAAATCAGGAGGCCCAGAACTATTGGTGGTGAAGAAGTGCTGTGTCTACTTCTTGTCATCAAGAGAGGTGTACAGACAAAGGAAGTTATGTCTCTTGGATTCAGAAGATAATCAAATGGTTTTTATTTATAAGAGAAAATATTATTTCTTCTTTCTTTTCTTTTTTTTTTTTTTTTTTTTTTTTTTTTTTTTTTTTTTTAGTATAATATCCTGGCAAACTGAAACCCAGATTTTTTGGGCACCAGACCTCATTTCCTCCGCTGTGCAGAATGTCTTTCTTGCTTGTGAAGATCTGGTCAAAGTCACAGGGTTCAAAATGCTTTTTGAGGAATGGCTGGGTCTGGAGGCCCCAAGTGAGACTGGACCCTTGATGTACTACCTGATGTAAATAAACATTGCAAGTGATAGCTCATCCACTACAGACTAACTGTGGCAGCAGCTCTCTGGCCACAGAGAGCAGGCACAGACTTTCCCAGGAATTTTCCCAGGGAAGGCTGTGAGAAGATCAGAGAAAAGAATGAGAAACAATTCTTCTCCCCACTTGTTGCACCTGCTGTTGTGCACATGTGGAATGTCTCATGGAGATTTGTTTACCAAAGGGTGATTTCTTCATTGGACACTGGATGGTGTTTGGATGGATTCACCAATTAGGTCAAAGCTGTATACAACTGGCTGTAAGGGTTACTGAGTTTCTTAATAAATATAGCATAATACAGTATAAGATTATATAATTTGCCTTTAAAAGCAATTGATCAGCCTTCTGCAACATGGAGTCAATGCTAATTATTACCTGGCTGGGGGCCTGTGGTGACAAGTAACGACGGTGGAGGTAAACTACAACTATCACCATGCAGACTTGGAGAGCCGAGATACAGGTAATGTGTAGGCAATGACTGCATGACTTGCTTCAAGTCACATCAAACCTCGAAACCGTACTTCAACATCCTGAATCTCCTTTCTGCCTCTTAAACATCCTGTCTTTATCTACTTACTCCTGCAGCCATGATCCCAACTGACTCGTGTGGCCTGACAGGTGCACCTGAGGACAGACATTGAGCCGGTGTCCTCAGGAGGGAGCATGGAAGAGGACCTCCGGATTGGAACTCCAGTGTGCCAAGTGCTCAGCAAAGACCTCAGGTTGAAAGCTTCAGAGGAGCTGTGAGCTGACGGAAAAAAAGGAAAAGTTTATACTGTGTGTGGGGGGGAAAGGAAACTCACTTGATAAATACAAACTCAAGACATATTTAGAAGCTGGATATGCAAGCTGAACATTCCCTGGGGCTAATTGCTGTAATGGCATGTTAAATAAATACTTTCTAAACTTGGCTGTGCCACATGAATGCTGTTTAAATAACAAAGTGGTCATGGACAAATTATCAAAAGTATTAGGCAGAAACATGCTTTAATTTAACTGGAATTGAAATACATGGTGGCTTTTTTCCGTCTCATTATTGTGACCATCACAAATCAGATTTATTTTTTGTCTGTTAATCTTGGGGCTTCCTCTTCTTTTGCTCTCCTGGTTAACAACAAATATGACACATGTTTTTCTTCTTTGCTGTTTTGTACTGTTCCATGGCAGACACAGGAATGTTCTTTCTCTTTGGGCAGTTTGTAACTCCTGGGCCTTTCCTTTTCCATTGTGCACACTCAAGACCAGGCAAAGCTTCTGGGAAATGGAAGATATTTAAGAAATGGTAGTCTGCATGGCCAAGCTTATTGAAGAAGGGTACTTAAGCTGATGAGTTAGAACAGCAATTACTGAACAATGGTGGTCCATTCTGAGGAAAATGCAAAAGAAAAAAACAGAGTAGAGGATATTTCTGCAGTTTAAAATTCTTAAATCTGGAAAATTTCTCTCATTCTAGGTATATGGAAATAACTAGATTTCTATATACAAATTTATATATATAATAAATTTATAAATAAGCATGAACTCATAATTTTATCTATAATATATACGCAATAAATAAATTTATATTAATTTTTATCTATTACATATGCATGCATATTTATATTTTCTATAGAAATATAGATTATGAGTCACAGATTTCCTGCCATACTTATTGTAGTGGACAAATGACTCTAAAAAACAGTCCAGAGTCTCAAATGGCTGATTACACCTGAGGACTAACAGACTGCTAATGGAATTCTATACTCTTTTTAAAGGTTTCCCCAGTCAATGAAATTATAGGAATGACCACCCTAACTGGAGAATCCTAAGTGTCAGTTGAAAAACCACCTAGTAAAAGGAGGTGCTTTGTACTGGTTCACCCCTATTTCTTACCCGTTTGGGGATCACTTGTGTTGCTATAAAGCAGTGGATTCACCATTTAAAATGTGCACATGAGGGGTCCTTTCAAGTGATAAGAAGGAGAATCTCTTCTGATATTCACCCTCATGATCAGACATGAGGTAATCACATAATATCTCAAGTTGGAAGGGCTCCATAAGGATCATCAAGTCCAAATCCCTACTTCTCACAGAACTACCTCACACTAAACCATGAGACTGAGTGTCTTCCAGACAGCCTTGGTGCCACTTCACACAAAAGAAACTTTGCAGCTTCATGTCTTTTACTGCTCAGAGATGCCTTTTATTTAAGTAAATATAAGGCAAAATTAGGAATGTATACGTACACAATGCAAAAATGTAAGTTATATGTTTGGTAGCTTTTTTTATCTGGGAACATACACAACATTTCATTTAATTCTTTTGATAAAATATTGCCTTCAAGTGTTTTCAGAAGACAGGAGAAATAAAAGAATATGATTCTTCTAAGCCTTAGAATAATGTGTTTACATATCAAGGAATCCCTTTCACAGAAATCAATATCTTTTCATTTCGTCTGGGCAAAAATAATATTAGACACTTGTTGGCTCTTGGCATTCTTAACACTCATTTGCAAAGTGAAACAAAAAATTTTACAGCAGCTTTCAAGAAAGCATATTATTAGATCTTAATACTCAACAGCATTTCCTCACAAACATTGATTTACTGTTGTTATTGTTGTGACTGCATCCAGGTGGTCATATAGTTTGAAGGAAATATGCAATTAAATTTATATCAGTAAATTGTACTTGGTATATTTGCACTTGGCTACGTCTCAGAGTGAAAAGCAAATCATTTGATTTTTCCTCAGAAATGGGAAACTCAATTCCCTCTTATGAACTTCTTGACAGTTAACAACCATCAGGAGTGATAGAGAGGGAGACTGCTTCTAACTAATAGGCTTCTGGCAGGTACCGTGGGGCCAGCAGAGTGGTAGACATCCTCATTTAGATGCCCAGGCACATTCCAGAAAACTGCCATTATCCCAGGCATGGTTTGGGCTGGGTTGGGGGCAAGAAGGGAGTGTGCGGCAGAGGAGCTGGGGCAAGGCATTACATAACTCTGAATGTGCCCCTCAAAGTGCTTCCCACTTCCCACTTCCACCAGGAGTCTGGGCACATGAACCAGAGGGCCAGGTCCCTTGACAAAATGAGCTATAGAAAAGACTTTCTATTCCTTCTCCCCACAGGTGGCTGCAGTCAGTGGATAATTGGTTGTGCATTTAGTTTCACCAGGAATTCTTTCCGCACAGAAACTGTATATAAAGTATTGATGAAAGCTTTCCTTCACAAACTGTTTTTTCTGTCTGAAAAATGACTTCCTCTAAACATGCCCAGCCAACTCCATTGTGTTTTTGATAAGATGTGAATGCATAAGCACTTTGTTTTATTATTATTAGACTTTTCTCTCTGTTGACCTTTATTCTGTGTCTGTTCTAATATCATACTTGCAAAGACCATGTGATATGAATATTTAAGTACCCTACCTAGAATGCATTAAAAGAGCCTGAATTTCAGAAGTCCCGGGCTGTGTTTTCCCAACATGAGCCTCATTTAGAAGTTTTGCAGTCCATTTGAGTTTTCAGGCAACGAGTCGCTCCATCCATTTTTACGCAGGTAGCAACAAGGACATGAATTTTAATTTTCTTTAAACATCCCCATGGATTTTAATTGCAGAGTAATAGGATGTGATATTCTTCTGAAAGGTTTGTTCTGACACATCAACATTGATCACAGTCACCAGAAGCCCTGTCCAAGAAACAATCATTTAAACCCAGACTTAGCTCTGTGGTCTCTGGATGAAAACCTGCTCAGGTGCACGGCTATGGCACCTTGTCTTTCATCCACTGCTGCAGGGGATGTCTGTTTTGGCAAAACAAAGCTCATTGGAAATTCATGTATTTGTTCTTCCTGTGGGACCATGAGCCTGCTGATAGAGCACGCTCTGCGGTGCCACAGCTGGACACTGAGCAGTCCGAGAGCAGGGGTGGGTTACACCACACAGCGGCCTTGGTACTGCCCTCGGCCGTCCATCCTGGCTGCAGCTTTGCCACCTGGGCATGTACAAAAATTGAGGCTCCTTGGGCAGGGGCAGGTGGCATGGGATGAGGTATCACTGGGCAGAAAGGTCAGTCACTTCTGCCCGTGGGTCTGGGCACGCAGAGACCACGCACGCAGAGAGCTGGAGCATGTCACGCTTTCTGGCGGGGCTTCAACTCACAGAGTTAACTTTACTCAAGAGAAAACTATGCCAGATTCTGGCCTTTGAAGATTTCGGTAAGCTCCTTTTTCAGGGAAAACAGGTTGCCAAGTGGGATTTTTCGTGAGTTGACTGCTTTTCAAAGATCTTTGTGAAGGGGCTTGGTTAAGGGCATTGCTGGGGGAAACCAATTATAATTTTTAAATATGTTAGACTTAAATAAACATTTAATTAAAATAAGACCAGCTTTTTCAGCCATTGACTGTCTTCTCCTGTAGATTTGGGAAGTTCTGGAGAATTCCTGATACTACACATTTTTTGAGAGTGTCAGCAAACTTCTCAAACTAGCCTTTAATACTTCCTTCCCTTTCTCTTCCCTCCCTCCCAACCCTTTTCCTTATATACTTTAACCTACTTTTTAGTCTCTCATTTTTCTGTTTTCCTTCTATTTCTTGCAATAATTTTCTTTGAACCTTTTCCTCCTTGCCCATTTCTCCCTGGTCCCTTTTCCATGCATTTTCTCCTCCATTTCATCTGAACATCACCACAACCCATGTTATCTCCATAATAGCCCCTTCCTAATGATGGAGAGAAATACCATGGAACATCAGCTTTCAGCAGCTGGGAGCCAGGAGGGCATATGTGACATGACTTTTCATCTCCCACCTCAATCTGTATAATACTTCTTCAAAAGTCTGCCTACCTTTTGTGGCACCAAGAGATGTAGCTGGGCTAGCAAAAGGAAGAATGAAAAAAGATTTCATCACTTGAGCAGCTCCAAACCACCGTATTTTTTTATGGCATTATCAGCATTGTTATGACGACAGAGAATGCCACATTAGCTGCTGAATGTGAGTCTTTGCACTTATTAAAACCTATAAATATCTTCGATAATAGCAAAGGGAAAATATTTGTCATGCGAGGATTTTCTTTCCAAATCATTCAACTGATATTAGTTTGACCCAGGTTGAAAGTTCCCTCTCCTGCCAAAATGATTTAATTCCAAATTGTCCTGCTCCTTCTTTTTTCCTTTCTTTCCCCCTCCCTTCTTCAGTGACTTCCAGTGTTCGCATGCCTGCTTGATAGGACTCGATTAAGGAGCACCATACCACAATGAGATAGTCTCTAAATAGTATTTTCATCCCTGTTTTGCTGAGAGACAAGCATGGTTTTGTGCAGCAGCTTTACACTGGCTGTTACTGGACCATCCTGGTTTCATCTGGAATAGAGTCAACTTTCCTCCTAGCGATGTGTTTTGGATTCAGTATGAGAATAACCTTGACCAAACACTGATGGTTTAGTTGTTGCGATTCAGTCTTTAGTCAAGGACTGTTCTGTGTCCCAGCCTCTGCCAGTGAGCAGGCATGAAAGAAGATGGGAGGAGCATGGGCAGAACAGGTGACCTGCACTGGCCAGGGGCATAGTTCACATTGTAGGACATTTTGCTTGGTACCTAAACTGAAGAAGAGGGTGGCAGTGAGGCTGATTGCTGCTGGGGGACAGGCCAGGCATTGGTCCGTGGGTGGTGGGCAACTGTGTGTCACTTGTTTCTCTCTCCTCACTACAATTACTGGTTTTGTTCTATTTTAATTTATTTCAATTGTTAAACTGTTCTTATCTAAGCCCATGGGCTTTACCTTTTTCTGAATCTCCTCCTCACCTTACCTGGGTAGGGGGGAATGAATGAGTGGCTACACAATGTTTCATTGCCAATGGAATTAAACCACAACAAAGACAGGCATTGACACAGTAAACCATTCTAATTTTTTACATGGCTTCAACAACACACATAAAT